TACATACCTTTGATTGTGGATACTTTTTCCAGAAATGAAACTGCTTCTCCCTTTTGCCACGAACTGTGAACATTAAACGTGCAATATCCACGTTCTCGACTCCATGGTCTCCTCTGACCCTGTAATGACCATAAAGGCAATGTTTTAATACTTAACATAATGCTTATTTATAAAGCATAATATAACATTCCTGGTGAAGCAAATAAATTAATAAAAATGTGGAGGCTACAAAAAAAAATTAAAATTAAATTATCATATTGTGAAATATTATAATTTAAAATCATGGTTTTTAATACACTTTAAAATATAATTTATTTCTGTGAAACAAGCAGAATTTTCTCTAGCCATTACTTCAGTGTCACATGATCCTTCAGAAATAATGATTTGATACTGTTATTAACAGTTTTGGAAATGGTTGTGCGGTTTAATATTTTATTAGAATCTCTGATAATTATTTCTGGATTCATTAAGTAATTAAAAAAATTGTATATAATAGGGATGCACCGAAATGAAAATTCTTGGCCGAAACCGAAAAAGAGGAAACCAAGACCGAAAACCAAAACACTGAAAGAATTATGCAAATTATTAGTACCATTGCAGGAGGCGCTATCAGAATGGTAGTACACAAAACAGCACAGCAAATGACTTTGAAACGTGCAGCGCTCATATTTATTCAATGGATAGCCTTTTGAAGTTTCATTGCAATTCTTGTCTTTCAGTCCCCACAATTAAAACCACCTGAAATCATAATTAATACTTCCTTAACCCCTAATAACACTGCAGTCATCAATGAAAATGAAGAGCTTTATTTCAAGAACCGACTTTCAGAAACAAACCTTACACAAAATGTTTCTTTTTATTTTTTTCCCATGTTCGGGGCACAAGGAAAATATTAGGGGACTAAATTAATATCAGCATGTGAAGTATAATCGTCTCTCATTGTCTCTGAAAGAATGCACGTCAGATGCTGATAGTCAGTTTTTACTTTCACTTTAACATATTGAGCAGTTTTCACATTGCTTGTGTGATATCCATTGGCTCACCTCCATGGTTTAAAACATAAATATTTATAAAAATACCAGTATATAGAAAAGACATCTAGCTCTTTAAACCAACGTAAAGCCATTGTTTTTCACTCACTGAAAGCTACATCTGTCTGCGCTCAATGCGCCGATCTCTGCTCTCATCACTGTACGCACGACTACAGACACACCCCATCTTGAAATTACAAGTTTTGCAAATCGCTATCCGTGGGTCTTTCTCAGATATACTGAAATATATCCACACCGCATACGTGTTGCTTCAGACAAGCACGTGCAGGCAGCAGTTTCTGTTTGCGTCAACATACTGTTTCGGCCGTGTTGTTTCGGTGATAAAAATCTTTCAGCCAAAAGCCGAAAATGCACTTTTGGGCCATTTTTGGCCGAAATTTTTCGGTGGCCGAATATTCGGTGCATCCCTAGTATATAATATATAGTGAATAAATTAATTTTTGGTTGAACTACCCCTCTAAGCCAGAAGTTCTCAATTCCAGTCCTTCCGTACCCCCACTCTGCAAATTTTGCATGTCTGTTTGTTAAGCTATCTGATTCAGATCATCAGCTTATTAGAACTGAGCTCTGTGCATGAACTGTGTTCCAATTGGCATGGTCCCTACACTGTGTCCTACTCCCTGTGCAGGGGAAATCCGTTGAAGTTTACGTTATGCTGTGCCACTTCCTGCAGGATCTTCACGTCACGTCTTAATCTTCAGAACATAAATTACAAATATTTTTGATAAAATACTGTACAAGAGCTCTCTGACCCTTCATAGACAGCATGTGTTTCTACCACAGTCAACGTTAAAATAGCCCATGGAATGTTTTAAAGGGATAGTTCCTAGTATCCCTTTAAGGATGACCTTACTACATCTCTTTGCCTTCGCCATAGTAGTACCCTTGCTGTCTATGAAATGTCATCAGAAATACTGAATAAAATATTACTATGAATACAAATGTTCAGATGAGCAAAGGTCTTACAGGTTTGAGGGTATATGAGGGTAAGTATATTATGAAATTTTTTCTTTTTGGGTGAAAAGTTCTACCACAATACCTAACAATAAATGTAAAAAAAATATGTGTACTCTCATCTTTATTACTTGATACCACAACTTACCTAAGAGGGAAACCATATCTTTCCACAGACTCTTGGAAGAAGCACAGCGCAGTCGATGCTGAATAGCTTGTGGCAGCGCCGAGGTACATTATCTGTAGAATTAGAAATAGCATTGTTGGTGGGGAGCTGGGGTGCCTAATGAGCCAGCTTGGTTAGCTGGCTCTCTTCTGCCAGGGGGTAGTGATTTTCCCCCTGGTATCTTGAATCCCAGCCCCTCTCCCCCCTCACTCACATAACATGCCACGCACACATGTAGGATCTTGGGGTGGGTATGTGCCGCGCACGCTGCAGTGAGGGGGGCCATTCACATGGCCTTACTCGCTGTGCTGCGCGGCCCTCTGCCTCCCCTTGTTTTAATTACACTTTAGTCATCACATATCAGTATGCACACAGGGCCTTGGGGGGTGGGGGCCCTCCCTAGAGGTTGGTGGGTGGGGCCGCTGAGGTGGTCTCACTCACCTCTTCACTGCTGCCCGCCCCTCAATTTTACTTACACCATA